GTTGTTCATTTCCGGTTCATTGTTGTTGTATTTTGAGTGATGTTGATATTTTTCTTTTATTTGGAGAAGGGAAGGAGGTTGATGATAAAGAGTGATCGGGCAATGACGTAGGGGATAATGAAAGAGAGAGGTTGATAAAAGTTGTGATATGGAAAGTTTGATAATGATGAGTAAATGGAAAACAAAATGGTGAATGAGTGCTGAAAATATAAAGAAAAATGTAGATGGCAGAGACAGCGATCAAAAAGAAAAGAAGAAAATAGAAAAACAATATAGTTATACATGAAAGGAAAACAAATGCAAAATGGAAAAAATACAGCAATGTGATATTGAAAAAAACTACAGCGTAGTGATCAGCTTCTAAGGAAATTAACAAAATGAAAATGAAGATATAAAACTTTATAGATTGAAAAGCAAACAATATTAGTGACCTACATGCATGCGGTGTAAGTAAAAAGAAACAAAAAAGAAGAAAAAGAAGACGAGGAATCAAGTAATATCAATTTGAAGATAGTGAAAAAAATGTTTATTGAAGTAAATAACAAGTGCACACACACACACACACACAGACACACACCACACACACACACACACACACACACACACACACACACACACACACACACACACACACACACACACACACACACACACACACACACACACACGAACACGCATATATACACAGTTCATATAAATATATACATGCACACACACACACACACACACACACACACACACACACACACACACACACACACACACACACACACACACACACACACACACACACACACACACACACACAGCACCGCACAGCACACACACACACACACACATACACACTCACATACACACACCACACACCACACACACACTATCACACACATATGCACAGATCATATACATGTATAACATACACGCATACACCACACACACACACACACACACACACACACACACACACACACACACACACACACACACACACACACACACTCACACCACTCACACACACACACACACACACACACACACACACACACACACACACACACACACACAACACACACACACACACAACACACACACACACACACACACACCACACACACCAACAACGCACCACACACAAATATATAATAATATATATTAATATATTATATTAATTATTATGTTTAATTTATTTATATTAATATATTTTGTTAACAATTTGTATTTAAACTGAAGTTTAGTTAATTTATAATTATTTTAATATAAATAAGTGTTATTAAATTAGTACGTATATATTTATTAATATTATTGTCCATAATATATATATATATATACATTACAATTATACCATTACATCATATAACATACTAATAGATTACATCAATTGTATAAATGTATATATATGTATATATAATTCTATATATATTCCATCATATGTATTATGTATTATATATATATATTATATATCATTATATAAGACAAGGTTTTATTTGGACTTGTATATATATGTATTTATTATATAACTCATTTATATATATTATATATATTATATTATTATATTTTTATATTATACTTATTATATAGGTTATATTCATTTAATTTTAACATATTAAATATATGTTCCTAGATTTCTTATTGATTATTTTATTTATTTTTATAGTACTATATATTATTATATATAGTAATATAATATATATGGTATGTATGTATAATGGTGAGGACTATACAAAATAAATATACGCTATATTATTTATATATTATAATTAACTAACACATATATAATATATATATAAAGATATAACTATTAGTATACTTATATAATATATATTTACGAATTCAATTATATTACCATTAGTAACTAAATTGTAGATTAATATAATATAGTATATGTTGCTGTGTGTGCAGTACGGATGTGTGTGTGTTGTTGGGTTGTGTGGTGGTGTATGTATGTATATTATGGAATGATAACAATATACGGCATATATAACAAATTACTTATAATAACTACACGATATAGTATTATTATAATATATATATATATTGTGTGTGATGTTGTGTGTGTGTGTGTGGTTGTGTGAGTTGTGTGTGTGTGTGGTGTAGTTGTGTGTGTGTCGAGTGTGTGTGTGTTGTGTGATGTGTGTGTGTGTGGTGTGTGTGTGGTGGCGATGTGTGTGAGTGTGTGTTTGGTGTGTGTGGTGGTGTGTGCTATTGTGTGTGTGTGTGTGTGTGTGTGTGTGTGTGTGTTTGTCGTTGTGGTATAGCGGTGTATGTATTATATATAACATAGCATATTATTGATGCTGTGCATGTTGTGCACACATTGTGATACACGATCAATAGTTATGTTAGGTTAATGGAGTAGTGTGTAGTCTAGCGATATTGTATATGTATATTATTAGATAGTTATTGATTAGTTAATATGTTATATATATATATGTGATGTGGTGTGTGTGTTGAGTGCTGTGCGAGTGTGTGTGTGGTGTATGTGTGTGTTGTGTGTAGTTGATTGATGTGGTTGTGTAGTGTGTGGTGTGTGTGTGTGTGTTGTGTGTGTATTGTTGTGTGTGTGTGTTGTGTGTGATGTGTGTGCATTATAGTTATAACATTTATATATGAACTGTGGTATATAGGTCGTGTTCGTGAGTGTGTGTGTGTGTGTGTGTGTTGTGTGTGTGTGTGATGTGTGGTGGTGTGTATGTGGTCGGTTGATGATTGTTTGGTATGTTATCATGTGTGTGTGGTGTGTTGTGTGTGTGTGTCTTGTGCTGCATGTATGTGTTTGATCGTGAGTGTACACACTTTATGTATTATATTTTAACTTATTACATTTTTACTATTATCAATTGATATTATTGTAATCCTCTGAGTATATTCACTTTTTCCTTCTTATTTATTAGTTTCTATTTTATAACCTTATAACACCTATATATAGCTATGACAATGTTAAGGTCACTAATATTGGTTTTTGCTTTTATAAAATCTATAAGTTTTATATCTATCTATTCATTTGTATAATTTCTCTTAGAAGTCACTGAAATTCACTACGCTGTAATAGTTATTTTCAAATTGCATCAATTTGACCTGTATTATTATTCCATTGGGCATTGGTTTATTTCTCACCTTTCATATATGTATATTAAACTAATTATAATATATTATTTCTATTTATTATCTTCTTTTCTTTTTGACGCTGTCTTGCCCATCTACATTCTGTTATTTATTTATGTATTTAGTCAGCACTCATTAGTCAACCATTATGTTTAGTTTTTACCATTATATACTCATATATACAATAACTCATTACTCATATCACATATACAATATCAAATCTATTTTAATCATAGCCTATATATACTATTATATATATAGCTTATATATGCATATATATATTTCATTCATTTCCCATAACGTCATATTGCCATACGATTCCACTCTTTTCATCAACCTCCTTCCTTCTTACTACAAATAAAGATAAAAATATACTATAACATATTACACTTACATAAAATATCATAACTAACATTAGAACCTCGGAGTACATAAATTATAGTAAACATATTACTTAATTTCTATACCTGGAATTGATATAGAATCAATAATTACTATGCGGTCGTTGTAAAGTTTCACCGTGAGGTCAAAATAACCTACTAGTATATACATTCATTGACTCACTAGCATTAATAGTTAATTAATATATATATTGTATACGTTAACTGAGGTTAGCCATATATACCATAATTCAATAATCATATAATCTCTTTAGTGATCATATAGTAATTAGTTGATCTCATTTATACTATAAGCCAATACGGATGATTAGCTATTGATTATATTACTTTTATTTGAGTTATGGTGATAATATAATTCTAATTACATAATGTGGAGGGAACATTACAAAGTGATACCGAGGAGCAGAACAGGAGATGAGAGACAGAAGAAGTAAGAAAGGTGGAATAAATGATAAACAGTAAGTAATAGTAAGATAGTAGATATATAGTATAATAGATATGATATATATAGTATAATATATAATGATTGATATATAAATAGAAGAGAGAGAGAGAGAGAGAGAGAGAGAGACGGAGAGAGAAGAGAAGAGAGGGTGAGGATAGAGAGAGAGTAAGAAGAGTAGAGAGAGAGTAAGGGTGTAAATAGAAGGGTAATCATGAGAGTATAGTAATATAATATAGTAAGTGAATAGAGCTATTAGAGTAAAGTTATGTAAAGATATGTAGTGAGAGGGGGGGTAATAATGGTGAGTAGAAGGAGAGAGAGTAAGTAGCGTGAGAGATCATATGTATATACATATGCGCGCTGTATTATAATATATATACTTGTGTGTGATATGGGTATTAGTATTGTATGAGAAGAGATGAGAGAGAGTAGAAGTAAGAGGAGTGAGAGAGTAATAGTAATTAGAGTGATAATAGGAGAGAAGAATAGAGGGTAGTGAGTGAGGGGAGAGGAGAGAGAAGAGTTAGAGAGCTAAGAGAGAGTGAGAGAATATATATATGTAACAGAAGTCGATAATAATAATAAGATGGTAAGTATATAATACTATATATATACATAATATATAGGTATATCATATGTACAAATATATATATATATATTATTATATACTATATGAATAGTTAGATAGTGGAGTATAATATGAGTAGGTATCATATATATATAATATATTATATATACATATATAATATAGTATATTATATATAATATAATATATATAGTATTGTTTGTATGTATGTATGTATATTTACATGCACCCATACAGCACACACACAACACACACCGAGAGAGCCATTTCACGAGCACACACCACCACAACACAACGGTACACACATACACACACACCACACACGCACACAGGCCACACACATAGGGGACTGCACACCGAGGGGACGCGCGCAACACACACACATCAACACACCACACAATCAAGCACACACACACACACACCACCACACACACACACAACACACAGCACACACACACATATATAT